TTGGCACGGTGTACATCCACACCATTCCACACCTGCGACTACATAGCGTAAACAATGGTACCGCAAGGTGATACGATATATGCGATGATATAGGCTGTAGGGCCAACACTGTCACTGTGAGCATCGGACCTCAAGACCTCAACGCCATGCCCTGGAGCGGCCGTTTTACAGGGCTACTGTCATGGGTGTTGCTGCACTATGCCGACAGCTGCGGAGAGCCTTAAGCACTGCATGGTTTAAAACTGCCTGCGTCGACGACTTCATGCGCCCACTAGGCCTTAGCTCGTCAAACAATCCAGGCGGATTACGGGTGTGACCGAGGACACAGCTAGCTGCCACGAAGCCTGCATCTCTGCAGGAGCGGCCACGCCTACTGCACTGTTGTCGGATGTTGTTGGAGAGAGCCATACTATAGCCTGAGCATAGTCAAACATCATATCGAGCTTTCGGGTGCTTCCCGGCCTGTTCCGGCCCGTGGCAAATCGCAGTGCAATCCATCTCTCCATGAATGAAGTCCACATATGTCCACATATCTTGCGTTCAGAGCCTGCAGGAGGGCCTGGCAATTGCAGCGGCATCGACTGTGATGCGTGTTTTGGCGGCCAATGTTCGAAGTCCGACTCTGTCTCGTTCAAAGGGTTCTGCGAGCCAACGCCCCAGGCATTTCGGAAGTTGCAGCTGCGAGACAGCTCTGCGTCGCAACGGTCGCTGCGAGGTGCAGGCTGCGGTCGTACAGCTCACCCCTTCCGACCCAGTTGCAGCAGATCAGCAGAGTCAGCAAGGGTTACCACTTCGAATGTTTTCTCGTAGCTGGTCTTCGGCCAGTCTCCGCCCACTTCTTCCAGCTGCCATGGCTGGCACGCCGCCCGTATAGCATTCAGGTAACATCAGGAAACGTATCATGGTCCACCGTGAGCTTGTGAGATTGCATGGTTTCAGGCATCTGCATCATTCTGCATCCAACACATAACACCAGACAGTTTTCCTTGTTGGCGGTTCCGCTTCAGGCTGTGCTTCTGAACGCAGCGACAGAGTCATCTCCAGCGCCTTTGGATGCATACTGTATGGGGTCAGGGTCGGCAGGTGTGGGCTTATCCAATTTTGCTTTAAGTGGTCTGACGGTGTCTGACCACGGATGCATGCCTACTATGAGTGCTGCCTTTGCAAAAATGCGTCTTCTCACAAGCCGCCGTTGTTGATGGTCTGCGCATGTGTGACGGGGTCGGTCGGTGTTCTTTTGCCCACAAAACTCTAGAGTGAGGGGTCCAAGCCACACAAAAGCCCAAAAAGGAGAAGTTGGCTGGCAAGCCCTGAACCAAAAAGCCTAACCAGTCTCACCTGAACCCCAGAAAAAACCAGAGCAAAAAGAATGTCTCAAAAAATGTCCCCGAGCCTTAAGCCCATACAAAACATATCCTGCAACCTGAGCCCTCAACAAACATAAACAAACCCTGCCCGTGGACAGACTCTGAAGCCTTGCCAGCCTCATGCAAGCGCTTGAGCGTCCCTATGCTCTTAGCTATTCTGGCACGAAAAGATCTACAGGAGTGCTTGGAAGAGCTTGTACCCTTTTGGTCACACCCCCTTCAGAGGCTCCTCTCGAAAGATGTTATGTGCTTTTGAATCTCGATCGCGTGAGGGTTGCCTGTTTTTCCACAATATCATGGCCGAATAAGGGGTCTGCGGTGATCTAAATGGTAATGCTTTTCTGGGACCGGGGCGTCAGGATATAGCAGTGAGTGGGTTGTTGTGAACCGGACTACGTGGAGGAGTCTGATGGGCTCGTCTCGAGCTCTTGTGTGGTTTCTGCACTTCTGCCAGCGGCTGCCAGAGACTTACCCTTTCGGAATTCGGCCTGGTATGTGGCCATAACATGCGGCTTCAAGTAGATTGTGGGATATCATCTCTGCGCCCCCCGAAGCTGATGGTTTGTGTTTTTCTTAGCAAGTTTTTTTGAATTGAAGGGCGAAGCAGGTGTTGCGGGGGTTTTGCCGTCACATTTTTTCCCAACTGTACGATTTCGTCACCCCTGCCCAACAAATTAGGCTGTACTGTACCACTTGACCTCAGTCCTAGTCGCAACAAACACCCTAAACCGATAAAGACGGGTACGGTGACATACGGTGACCGTGTTTTGCTGTGGTATGGAAACGATGGCAGGCTGCGTGGATTGGGGCTGGTGCAGTGCTTGCACTGCACGGGTGGTTTAGGATGACCGTTTTCGGTTGACTGTTGACAAGTTGTTGACCTTTACAGATACCAGTATCTATCTTGCAGTATCCTGCCTGCCGAATGATGCCCGGAGCCTGCAAGGTGGCCATGTGTGGCTGTGTTTTTTGCTCCCTGAAAAGTCAAACATTTGTAAACCACAGGTCATGTCAAGGCCAAACTTTGCAAGCGCCACAGAAAATGCATCATGAATCACCCAGAAACGAACGTCAAGGGCACTGCGGCGACTGTTTGCGGGAACCAGCACGTCAGGATCTCACCTCCAAGCACATTTTTTGTTGCTGCTTCAGTTGCAAGAGAGAGATGCCCAGCCAAAACTACAGGATCTGAACTCAGCGCATCTGGCTGCGGGATCGTCGGCCGCGCTAGCAGCCATAGTTCCGCATCTGCTGGCTTCTGCCTTAAGGGCAGACATTTTAGCAGCCGGGCTTGCAAAGTCATCTTTGAGCTGCTGCGTCTGGCAATTCAAGTACTTTCAGGTCATGTCTTAGCTTTGTTGATGGATACCATTTCACTTGGGTGGAAATGCTTCAGAACCGTTTATGCCATGCTTCGGACCTGCGCATGCTGAGAGTTGGGAACAACATCCTGACGCATCCTGACCTGATGCCCGTTGATCGCGTTGCCTAGGAAGTCGGGGCGCGTGGAGCCACCAGTCAGGAGTCATGCTTGGCTTCAGGCATTCTCTTGTGGGGCAGTCTATTGATCAGGAAATCTTGAGCTTGTCACGGAAGGGACACGAAGAGAAGAGACAGCTGTGACATCTGCAAATCTGCTTCAGGTGGTATTCCATGTCGCTGTTGCACACACATGACATCACACGACACTTCATAGCCAAGGTTACGATCATAACCACGGCTCCCGGAAGCTCAGCTGCTTCAGCCCACGAGCAGTTTTGAGTTGATGTCGTGCATCCGGCTTCTGGCAGTCTTTGCTGGACCTGAGGCTTGGTAGGAGCACAGCCAGAGCATCTCGCCGACGCAGGCGCTTCAGAGAAACATTCTCAAGAGCTTCGCTACGGCAGACTGTTGTTTAGCAGAAGAGCCTTCCCCCCACACTGATCCTCTGTGGCGGCTTGTGAAGAGTGGGAGAGAGGGCATGTCAGCGTGCACTGAGCAAGGAAGGCCCGGCAGCATTGTACACTTCGATCTGGCTTTCGTGGCTCAGACTCAGAGAGTTTAAGAGAAGTCTGAGAGGAGCCGCGGTGTGCAGAATTCTAAGCAGCTAAGCAAATCGGCACCTCTTCTGTTCGAAGCTCAGGACATGTGTGGCCCGGCATCCGCGCTAGAGGCCGGGGGCCGGGTGACGCTGAGATATCAACCCTGCCACATCCTAGCAACATCCTGAAAAAGTGCGTGTGCAGAGCATTGGAATCCGATGCCGTCATGTGCGAAAGCCAGGATGCTGTGTCAGACAAGCGTGGCTTCGAGCACCGTTTTGGCCGGACAGCAGCTGAAGAGTACGAGGCCATGCGAGATTCATCATGCGTTGCACCATGTCACCGTCCTTTTAATTCTACTGGAGGCATTCAAGATCTCCACAATTCGGCTGCTGAGTCTGGAACCATTGTACAGCACCACAAGTGCAGCTTGTCTGAATCCGATCCACGGTTTGTTATAGGGCCTCGGAATCTGTGGCTTCCAAATTTCGGAGCTGAGTGCATGAAGAAAGCCATCTCTGCAGTCCTCGTCAACCAGGTAGCAGTAGCATTGCCACAGCCGCAATCAGTAAAACCATGAAGTGTGGTCGTACCATCCACCTGGCCCGAACAAGCAGCAGTGAAAGTTCCTCGCACGCCATTTACTGCCAGCAAGCTCAGCAGCCGTTCAGCTGTGTTTCGGGCACTTGCCACGACCTTGCCACGACCGCAATGATGAGAGCCAGGTCACGACGGTCAACACGCAGAGAAGCGAAACGAATGACCGAACGGAAGTCGAGGAGGCATCGGTCAAGCGGGCATGGGCAAGTGAGCAGCTAGACACATCTAGACATCGAGCCGGGAGCTTGTGCTTCGCATCCGGGACTTGTTCACTCTTCTTTGGCATATTTTGGCATGCTTTTGCAGCCCAGACTGCAGTGCAGCGATGTGCAGCGGACCAGAGTTACCAGACCTCACGCACTCACGCAGATCGCAACAGTTCAAAAAGAGCTGCACTGTCCGAGTTGAAATTGTGTTGGCTTGGACACCTTGCTTCTGAAGGAACAGCCCACCTTCTTGGAGCAGTTTTGGTGGCTTCCATGGCTCGGTTCCTGGGATGTCAACATCTCGGTTTGTCGCTCCCCCGATGTGAAGATGTGGGTTTGCATCATCGGCATGCTGGGACTGTGCATAGAAACTCATAGACTAGAGCAATTTCTTCGCAGCCGGCGGGGTTCCACCATACTGCACCACCAGTCCTCGGATGACATCGAAGACTGGGAACTCGGTGTGTGACGTGCGGTAATTAAGTACGGGAAAACAGTAACGATCCGCCTAGGTTGCGTGATTGCAACTCTGGCCACCTGCCTGCAAGAGTGCCGCTGGGATCCGCTAGGTCTCAGATCATTCCATGGAGGTGATGCAACCAAATCTTCAGCCAAGTCACGCATCTTGTTGCATCTTTGTGCAAACACGTGGCCGTTTTTGGCTCGCAATAAGTAGGAGAGTCAGTACCCCGGAGCCCCGGCAGCATACCGTTGTCATACACACCCCAGAGTGCCTGCCAAGAGAACGGCGGATAGAACCTTGCAGAACCCTGGGTATGTCCTGCGAGAGTGCATGACCACCTTCGATGGCTGAGACTAGGTTGCACTATAGTGATCGCAATGATCGCTGCATGCCAATATCAGTGATTCAGTGAATATTCAGTGATTCGTGACTGCGGTGACCGTGTGCCCTGAGCCAACCCGCTTTAGGACGCCTCGGCCTCGGAAGTCCGGCCTGAGGCGGCGGAGGACGGACGAGGGCAGAGACATTGTGTTAGGACATTGTGTTAGGACGGAAGAAGAATAGGAGAAAGCTCACAATGCTCACACCTTCGCCAGAGTCTCCAGTCCTGGGTTATGGCGCATCTGATGTCCTTGAGGCTGGTACAGAGCACTTTGACGCCTCACTGCCTGGCAGCGTTGTCGCCGTTCCACCGATTTGGACGAATGAAGATGGCCGGCGCCTGAACAAACGTCCATGATCTTGCATGTTTTCTTACTGCTTCTAGCTGCTTCCGGCTGCTGCATGCTTGTTTGTTGCAAGTCCAGCAACCCATGGTAACATAGCACACCACTTGGGCAGAGGCAGCTTCCGAACTCAGCCAGACATTCCTGCGCCGCCACCGCGGAAACCGCCTCCACTGCGTAATTCGACAATTGCACCCTGGGTCCTCGCATCTTGAAAGAAAGTTCTCTTGTTGCGTCGAAGCCACTTTCCGGTGTGCAAGTGTCTGTGCAGTACCGTGCAGGTCCAGACCCGGTGCTTAGGAATCTTGTAGTGCGACACTAAGGCAGCCCGCCAGGCGGACATTGCGCAAGCAAACGAGGATGAGGCAAGGCACCATGATTTCTGGGTCTCGTTTCGTTCAACTACGAGTCAAGCGGCGGTACATTCAATTCGGTAGGCATTGGAGATGGACTACGATGAGTACGGCTCTGGCGGGGGGTCTCCGCGCTCTGCTGAAGGACAGTTCTGCAAGCAGCCCCTCCGAGTCCATCCCCCTTTCGTCCAGGGGAGTCTCTAAAGGGGAATTCTCCACGTGCAGGAGAGAGGGAGACGGGTAGGAACAGAGTAGAATGGGTTTGACGTGTAACCTGTTCTGCATGACCTGGAGCACGACATTCCCCGCTCTCACTAGTTATTCCTTAGATGCTGGTAGTTGCCGCTGGTTCATAGGCCGTAGGCCCCTCAGCTGTAGTGCGGTCGGCCACATGAGCAAGCAAGGACAGTCTGAGGCCCTAGCTGCTTCGCTTGCTCTTGCAACGCAATAAATTTAAGCAATTTTACTTATACTTGGCAGATGCCGCATCTGGAAAACCTGAATCTTCGATGCGCCATGCCAGAGTTGTGTGCATGTTGTATCCTGTTCTGGGCCAGCGGGTGGAAAGCAGCATGAAGGGCTCCAGCGCTTTACGACCAGGTTGAGGCAGGTGTGCCATGTGTTGCATTGAGCAGCAGCAAGTGCGCGATGATCAAAGTTACGCCTGTCCCGTACACCCGCTTTCGAGAAGCGATGAGGGGGGATCAGTGCTGGAGGAGACTGCGAGCGGAGCGTAACGAATTGTTGCTAAACCTTGGAAACGAGCCCCCCCCCCCCCGCACGATCAACAATGCCGAGTCGGCAAAGGCCGAGCCCATGACGGTCTAGGGTTTAGGCATCAGAAGGCGGTAGAGAAGGCACCTCCCATTTCGGAGACCTGTATCGCTGCTTCTTTGCTCTGCCAGGATCACAGCTCTCAAGCGCGGAGATGTCTCAAGGATCCGCTCTTGGCTCTATGCCCTACAGCGATACGGTGGCACTATGTCAATGTGTCCCTGTATGCTAAAGGGAATTCGTGTGTTGACTCTGTGCTGACTCTGTGCTGACTCTGTGCTGACTCTGTGCTGACTCTGTGTTGACTCTGTGCAGCTGAGGCATTGATAGCCAACCACCTGTAGATCCAGATGCAAATTATGGTGGAGTGACACTCTCTCAGCTTGAGGAGTTCCTGGCAGTTCGCATCCTTGTCTTCTTTAGCCTTCCGGTCAGATGTTGCACGGAGATAGATTTGCTGCTGCTCGTGTCTCATGTAGGCTGGCCGTGCGTGGGCTAAGGCAAGGGGATGCGGACAGCTTGCGGCACTTTGCCGATGACTTTCGCGATTTGGCCCTTCGCCATGTTTTCCACCCAAGCTGCATTCAACTCACCCTGCTCCCGGAACTCCCAAAAGAGCTTGGAATCGAGGTCAGCAGCATTCAACATTGGTGCCTTTGACCGAGGCTGGCCTATGTGCTGCTCGTGATCACCATGGGAGCGGCAGAGGGGCCTTTCCAGACAGGGAACCTGATAAAGGAGGAGGTCAGCAGTGCCGTCGCTCACCGGCCGAACCCCATGACTCAGCTCAATCGAACTTTCCGGCTGCACGAGATGCAAGACTTTGATGACATCGGGTGGTGGATGAAAACTGCATTGGCTCCCACAATCGATCCACACAGCAGTCGTATGGGAAACGCCGTGAAAATTGTGGCTTAGTCGCCCTAGCTACGGATCTCAGCAGTCGTTGAATGGCATTCATGCTGTTGTTTTCCTGCTGCCATGCGAGGTGGGCTTTGCAAGAGTGACCCAGTTGAAGGGCACAATGGTTGAATGCGACGGCTTGACACCCAATCTTAAGCGGTTTTATCCGGGCCTTTGCTACCCTCCTGCATCTCCGGGCACAGTGGTGAAACTTGCTCCGCAGACAGATTCATAGGCCCGGTATTCTCCTATCCAAGACAACCTACAAAGCCTCAAATCATGCAGCTAAGGAATTCATTTGGGGCATTTGATGCTGATGATGCCTTCCAGGCCTGCTTTGGGTCTCTTCGAGAAACATTGAGCAGATCAGATATGACTGACCTTTGACTTGGTTCTTGCGTGATGGCTCGCCAGTCGTCATTCTGGATCATTCTGGCATGTGTCTTCCTTGCTTCAGAGCGAGACATCTAAGAAAAGCTGCGTTCTTGTGTTGCCATTTGCAGGCGCTTGGTCCTGGGCGACCGGTTGGGGAGTTTGAGGCTTGGTTGGACACAGGCAGGAGGGCAGCGGGCAAGTATCGAGTGCGAGAACATGCACCGAACATGGTTGAATGGGGTTCTAGATTGCCGAAAGAACTGCCTTGACTAGCTTGCTTCACTCCTCAGGTCTCATACTGCTAGAATCTACTCTTGTGCAGGCCGCCCTCTCAGCGAAGTGCAGTCGCGAATTGACAGCCTCATCGACAACCACTGGGTCGACAGACTAACGCAGCCCGGCCAAGAGACTGAAGAGGCTGAAGATTTTTTCGCTTTTTTTGCTCGGTTGTGTGCTTCAAAGTGAGATGTCGTTGAGGCAACACCTGACAATCGATGCCTTTTTCGTGAACTTGCAGACCAACGTTTATGTGCGAGTCCGACAGCACGTGACGGTCTACAGAGAAGGTCTTATCCAGAGCGCTTTAAGCGTGGTTCCGATGAAAGCAACTCCTTTGCAATGATCGGTCCTGTGTCGCCAGCCCATAGCGAAGTGGTTCTGACAGAGCTACTCAGCACGGTGAAACACATGTGTGCCAATGCACGCTTCGGCGAATTAGCTCGGCACCTCAGGCGGAAGTGGTCACACACTGGTCACACATATTCCTCAACTTGTGCTTCGCGAGCCTTGCTTCAATCAGCTCTTTGACATGTCAGCTGCTAGTTGGCAGTGCTACAATGCTACAACAAATCCGAGACCCAATTTGTTCTTAAATCGTTTGAACGGACATAATAAGCATGGAAGATCGTGGTTGAATGGCAACAGAAGCAAGTGCAGCAAGGATGAGATGATGCCTGAGAGAACTTGTCATCGGAACCATCATTTTGTGGCCTTCAAGTTTGTTAAAATGGCTGCCTGGACCGGAAAACAACATCGACATTCAAATATTCGAACTTGCATCCCCTGGCCATGCCTGATTCTAGTGAGCCCCAGCGCCTGGACGGCTTGGAACATCTTGGAACCCGATTCTCACCGGAACTCCTGCCTACGCTCAACGCAGGCAATGTGAGTAGTAATGTTAATGCTGGTTTGAAAGCCATTATTTGTATCAAACCAGAGATACAGTCATCGTAAGCCAACTGTAAGAACAATGATGATTGATAGAGCTGGCTCCCTCCCTCTGAATCCCTTCATATCTCTCCCTCCCCCTCCTTCAATTTACGGCTATGCAAGTTTCCCAGTTTTTTCAGTGCAAGTGAATTTTGGAAGCTTTTCAACACTGTTTAAGCTGTCTCCCAACAGCATGCGCGATGAAAACATGTCTTGTCGGATAAGAACGTCCCCCTTTCTGTCACCAACTCTTTGCTAGCCACGATGCGCCCCTAGATTAAAAAGCTTGTTCTCGTTCACTATATTGCTATTCCTACTGCCAGCTAGCTTCTGGTGCCCTGTCCACGAAGTCTACTTTGGGGGAGAAAACCCCCCAAAAACCACAGAAAGCTGAGACAAGTTTCAATCGTTTTGTCAGTTCATGAGGAAACTTTGACGCCTTTCCAACAAATACAATAGCTTTGAGTACTCTTACGTGTGCACAAGAAACCCTTGCATTTCACGAAAGAGTGCCCTCTAGTCATAACGTGAATGAAAGAGCCTCTCGTATCTCAGTCAGAGGTGCAATGTTATTGAACACCAAAAGCCAGAGAGCTTGCAAATTTTCTTCTGGGTGCATTCTTTATGATATCTTGGCCGATCTTACCCTGACATGTCGGGGTAACATTCGACATAGAATCGAGTCTGTCTTATGACAAGTGCTAGTCTAAGTGTCATATCCACGCAAGTGTTTGTCCACGGAGACCATCCGTACACGCAGGCCACGGAACTGTCCACGGACCCCATTGTCCACGGATATGTTTTTTTAGGGACCCGAGGGAGGGAGGGAGGAAGCAGTGCGTTTTCGAGGCCTTCCAAAACGCACTTTGCTTGCAACTGGAGCTGCAACTGGAGGGTGGGAGGAAGCAGTGCGTTTTCGAGGCCTTCCAAAACGCACTTTGCTTGCAACTGGACGGAGGTAAGGGAGAAAGGAAGAGGGCGGGACTTCCAAAACGCACTTTGCTTGCGACTGGAGGGAGGGGCGGCTTATGGTCTCGTTTCACAGAATTACATGCTGATAGGGGCTCTGGTGCGTTTAGGGTGGTGGCCAAAACGCACTGAGCTCTTTTTCTCGGCGATTCGCACTGTGCATCCCAGCTGGTCCTGGCCAAGTCCTGGTGGAGTTTCGACATGCTTTACTGGTTGTAAGGCGCTTTCGGAATCAGGGTCTATTTTGGATCTAGGAAACCCTAAACCCTAAACCCTCTAAACCCTAAACCCTAAACCCTAACCCTAAACCCTAAAGCCTCCCGAGTCTAGGGGTTTAGGGGCACGACCCAAGGCCTTCACGGCGTTGAGGGTTTAGGGCAGATGTGGACCTTCAGAGATTGGGGTTTTTGGTTTATGCAAAACGCACTTCCCCCTTCCGCCCCCGCTCTTCCCCTCCCCTCCCCGTGCGTTTTGGGGGGCCTGCAAAACGCACCCCCCCCTTCCCCCTCTTCCCCCCCCCCCCTCCCCCCCCCCCCCCCCCCCCCCCCTCCCCCCCCCGTGCGTTTTGGAAGACCTGCAAAACGCACTCTCGCCCCCCCCCCCCCCGCCCACCCCCGCCTCCCCCCCCCCCGCCTCCCCCCCCCTTCCCTCTTCCCCCTCCCCCCTCCTACTTTTTTGACCTGCAAAACCTTCCCTGCGCCCCTCCAAGCAAAGCCCCCCCCCAACCCCCAAAACACATTTTGCTTGGGTGGGGGGGGAGTCGGTTTTGCAGGCCTTGAGACCAAATAAGTGGGGGGAGGGGAGGGGAAGAGCGGGGGCGGAAGGGGGAAGTGCGTTTTGCATAAAACAAAAACCCCAATCTCTGAAGGTCCACATCTGCCCTAAACCCTCAACGCCGTGAAGGCCCTGGGTCGTGCCCCTAAACCCCTAGACTCGGGAGGCTTTAGGGTTTAGGGTTAGGGTTTAGAGGGTTTAGGGTTTAGGGTTTCCCAGATCCAAAATAGACCCTGATTCCGAAAGCGCCTTACAACCAGTAAAGCATGTCGAAACTCCACCAGGACTTGGCCTGGACCAGCTGGGATGCACAGTGCGAATCGCCGAGAAAAAGAGCTCAGTGCGTTTTGGCCACCACCCTAAACGCACCAGAGCCCCTATCAGCATGTAATTCTGTGAAACGAGACCATAAGCCGGGCCACGCAGACCACGGTAACGTCCACGCAGCCACCGGCCACGCATGTGGAAATGACACTTAGGTGCTAGTACTGCGCTGTTTTAGATAATTCTTGCTTTGATGATTACTAGCATTTTTGCTACGTCTGTTTCTTGTACTGCTACCATAACAACACTAGGAGAAGCCTAGAAGCTAGCAGCAAGCAGCAAGAAGCCCTTAACATACCTTAACAGGCTCAATGCCCTTGTGCGACAATGGCGGAAGCACCGAACTTGATGCAGCCTGCGAAATGGAAAAAAAGGCCCTCGTAGAAATGAGGCTGCGGACCGACAAACAAAAACAGAAAAAACAGAGAAGGATGATGAATTGAGACTCCAGCCTATCCTGCTATGGTCGGAATATGTTAGAATCGTTTTTCAGTAATCCGATTCTCTTGCCGTGCCCCAACTAGCCAAAGGATCCTTCTGGCTGTGCAGCTGATCTGGTTTGTGCAGCAGTGCCTCACGGAATACAAGCGTGGGCTTTGGCGACTGCAGCTTTGGCTTTCCAGCGTGGAGTGTTGTGGTATGATAATGGTATGATACCCACCACTCACGTTACAACCTTAAGAAATGGAGTGCTTGCCAGGCACTTTTGGGATATCTGGACTTGGCTGGACATGTTGTCGATCCTCGTCGCGCTGGTACCTTGACTGGAACTGCGTTGACTGTGTTGCAAGTGGTTGGTTTGCAATGAAGCCCCAGGGCAATGTGCAAATATTGCAGCAACACAGCAGCACCCCAAGTGAGTGCAGTGCGCAGATCATCGTTTTCATGGCTCTGGCCTTTGTGGTGGATACGCAAAACTTCACCGTGATGGTCTCCGACCTGGGTGACATGCCAACCTGGTCGGTGTTGGAAGCACCGGCAGCTCGTAAAGTGCAGTCCATTCTGCAGAACCGAGAATATCGGAACAAGGCCGTTTTGGATTCACCTCTTTGTTCTTTTCTGCACAGCACTGAGGGCGGTCACGCAGTTGTGTCAAAAAACATCCTAGGCCCTCAGAGGCTCCCAGAGGCATAGGCATATGGCACTGACCATCATAGGCGGCTTAAAATGTTGTTTCATTGCCCTGAGTGCTCCGAGCTCTTGGCGGTGTTTGACAACGTCCTGAGCATCAGCCTTTGGTTGCGCTTCATGACTGCTTGGTATGCAGTGACTCGTCAAACTAATCAGCTGGAATCGTCAGCTTGGCTTCCTAATTTACCTGATGCATGACGCATCAGGTATGCCTTTGCCTCCGCTTTTATCGTGGGTTCACTGGACAACCACGAACCTCTGTAATATTGCAGTCAGTGCCTTGCCTGCAGCCAATGCAGATGCAAGGCTACCGGGAGCTGTTGGTGGTGTCGCCATGATCGATCCCTGCGGCCTTGACAGGTCCTGTACATGTCGAACTTGTTCCTCCATTATATGGCACCTTGGTGGTAGTTGCACTTCAAGTGTTTGGCTGGGGCAGGATTTGCCTTGCACTTCGCTGGCCACGGTGGTTAGGAGATGTTGTCAGATTCTTTGTGCTGGAATGCAGTTCTGTGTTCCCGCAAGTTTAATGGCAAGTGGCAAGATCTCATGCTCCGAGCACAACGAGGACCCTACACATCGTTTGCTTTGAACACGAGCATCAGATTGTGCATGTCCGTCTTCCCGAGCTGGAAAAAAAGTTGGCCTTCCAAACCTTGAGCAGTCTTCACGTCTTACGAAGAAACCTGTGCAAGTCTTGCTTATATCGGCGGGGATGGAAGCACGATTCGGTCAAGTCTCTTCTGCCCAGTGCCCAGAGTGTCAACACATGGAAGCTCTTACACAAGACAAGATGCATGTCTTATGGGCCATGACAATATGATGATTCGTTCGCTCCTTCGCCATTCATGCGGAGAATTGGTGCAGTTGTAGCCAGATATGCTTACGAATAAGAACTCCAATCTAGCATGAACTTGCAGCATGTATCGACCAAGCAGTTTGCGCAAGTCGGCTTCTTCTTTGGAGACAGTGCAGCAAAACCTTGTTGCTCAGGTTGTGTTCCTGGTGGTTTGCGGCAATTTTGCACTGAGTGGCTACATCCTGTTCGGGGAGCAGGTACCCGCTTGGTCCACCTTCGGTGGCAGCATCATAACTCTAACTCAGGTCATGCTTGGCGAGTTTGATTATAATGCCATGCGAAACGTCGCCCCAGTCCTAGCAATGATCTGGTGGTGGAGCTTCTTCCTGTCCACGACTGTGGTGCTGTCCAGGGTTTTGACAGCGGCTGTGCTGCAGCTGTTCTTGGAGGTCCGTCAAGCTTTGGGCGAGCCAGGGATTGGGCTACCAAAACAAATTCTGGCAGTTGCCAAGAACTTGTGGTACCAACGATCTTACGAAGGATCCATGAAAAGTGTTCCTGATGATGACCTCCTCACCATGCTTGCAGCAGACCTGGATCCAGCTCATGTCAAGAAGCTCATGCAAATGAAGACCGACAGAAGGCTCTGCACACGAGAAGATCTGGCAAAAGCCGAGAAAGACATCAAGGTCGATGTGGAGTTCTTAGTGAAGAGAGGTATGGACCCGCTTGGTGCCGAGCGTCTGATTGAACGCACAGCCAACTGGGCTCTTAACATCTCTACCACAACTTCTGCCACCAACCGGCTCATGCTGCTCGTTGCAAAGCAGATGGAATATATCACGAACGAGGCAGACCGAATCCAGCGCAAGATCCGGACTAGGATCGACCGAGCGGCGCAGTCGGCAGACCGGGTGGACGTGAAGCACGCCAAGTGTGCGGCACTAGCAAAGCGACTCCGACGTGCGCAACAAATACCCGCAGGCTGGACGGCTCATCGAGACGAGAATGGCCGCAGATACCTGCGCCATGAGGAAAGTGGGCTCACTTCGTGGACATTGCCTCGAGCACTCATTTGATACAGTTTGCACGTACTGCTGGTTTTGCTTTGCTTAAAGCACTGTACGAAACCACGAAATTGTTTCACCTCGTGCAGGGCGTGGCCGAGCGCCCTCCCCAAAACCAAAGCCTAACAATTCAGACCGCCTTGCGTAGCCTGCCGGTTTCGCATCTTGGAGTGACGGCACGTGCATAGCTGGCCAACAATAGCTCGGGCAGCATAGGCTCCGCTTCACGACATATGTAGTTTGTAATCCTGTGTGTGCATCTAAAGGCCAAGGCTACGATTCGCTCATGATTTGGCATGCGCACCCTCGACTCTGGTGCACGCCCACCGCCTCGAAAAACGTTGATCCGCTTTTGCCTGCAAGCGCGCTTCTTCGTTACCCTGCTTTAGTTGGGTTACAAATGTGAACGTCCTCTGCAATCCAAGCACCATGCCGCTACAAGGCCTCTGCCTCGACTTGGCTTATTTTTCGCTTCAGGCTTGAGGGTTTGCGCCGGATGCGTGCTCTGCCTTGTGTAGGTTCTTCAATGTTCTGCATGCCTTTAAGCAGCTTTACTGATGCTGCGGGCTCACGGAGAGTTTCCAGGCGTCGAAAGCGGTGCATCACAACTTCCGACAGCTTTGACGGAGTTTCAAGGCGGGGCTTCTTTGGAGGGGAAGAGGCTGCAAGAGGTCGCTGAATCGACATGCCAACAATGCGCTGATATAGACGACGAAAAACGAATGCCCGCCCCAAAGCCCCAAAGAACGTCTCGACACTCGTCTGGTTTTAATGAGTGTGCAATTGCTAGTGGGAAGCAGATGTATGGCAGGTCTTCCTCGGTTCCGTCAGATGTGGGGTGGGCCTGGCAGCGCTGCTCTGACAGATTAGATCTTTTGGGTTTCAAAGCTCAAAGCTGACTGCAACGGTTGATTTCGACTTTGGAGCACTGCCACGCTTAGGCGACTACTATGCTTGCGCTGTGCATGCCTTCAAGCCAGAGGAGCGCAAGTGCAAAAGTGAGAAGACTCTTCAGAAGACTCATCCGTTTCTCATCATCTGAGCTTCGAGATTCCATGACTTCTTCATCGGGGACTGATGGGCACGGCTTCTAGTAGTGAGTGCCACAGTGTGAGTCGTAGTCTGAGTGGAGGCACTGGAGACTTAAGGCATTATTCGAGACAGACCACGGCAGGAGCGAGTCGAGCGATTCACAACTCGAAATTTCTACAATCCACACCCGCAATCTGACACGGTCTCCCGACGACTTGCCTGGCAAGTCTTTGACAACTTGACAACTGACGGCCAAGCAAGAGCCCTCCGCTGTGTTAATTCTAGTTGCTGCTGTAGTTCGTAAGGTCTGAAGATCCACAGCTGCCTCTTGACTCAGACATCTCCAGCAGAAACTCCCACTCCCGACCAATATCCATAGTATAGCAATATGATTTTTCTTTATCATGATCGCTGATGTACATGACAAGAACTACAACATAGTGCTATGGAGTCTTCGTCTTCCGTACTTCTCAGGGTCACGGATTGTGCAGAAAGTGCCTAGACCCAGACTTATGTCTCATTTGGGAATGAAAGCTTTAAAAACTTTAGGACGAATCGGCCACAAAACCAGCCAGGCAGGTGCTCCTAGGTTGATTAGGTTCCCATGGCACCACTTTCCGGCTCTTAAAAAAATCGGCTGTCAAACCCGGAAAGAAACCACGGCGCCGGGGGAAGGGGCAACCGTCAAGCAACCAAGAGTCACGAGCGACAATGCATCCTAGCTTGCCATTAGGCCTCATAGTCTACGGGTAGTTATACGGGAAGTCCATATGGTGCCTTACCTCCTTGAAAGGGTTCTGAAGTATGGGGCCCTTGGGTTGTATAGGGTATAGAAGTGGTAAAACAGAGGTCCCCTTCAAGGGCCACTAAGGGACTATGTAACTACCCCAAGACGCAGGTTCGCGCGGATCCGGCAGCCATGATCATGCAAGCTGCAGACAAAAACAGTGTTCGTACTTATTGACTTCATGTGGCCAACAGACTGGAAGGTATGAAGGTTTGAAGGCGTCGCGGAAAACAGTTTGATCTACCAAGCATCGTCCTTCGTAATCACAGTCCCTTACAATCCCTGTAGGAGGCTCTGGGCAGCTCGGCGCTGCCCTTGCTTGAAGGTGACCTGCTGCAGGCGCCACCTGCTTTCGTGGAGCTAAGCGCGCAGAATTCAATTCAAGCCGAGTAACTATGAGAACAAGTTGTGGAGTAGTGATGAGTATTCTGCAGTCACGGTAGTCAAACGGTTTGAGCATCAAGACCTCTTGAGGGGACGAGCTGCTTTAGGTCGAGGCAAGAGTGGATGAAGCCTGGCTCTATGGGCATGCGGCCAAGGAGCCGCATTCACTTGTGCAGAATCTGGCCATACTTCCTAGTGCAGGCTGTGCACGACACGAAGCTCAAGCTGCCAGTTGTGTGTCAGCATTTTGAAACTCGGTTTTTTCGTTGGATAAGGCGTCAGCATGCGGTCGTCCTACCATACACTATCATACACTAGGCGTGCACCTCACAGCGGAGGAGCCTGACCGCGCCGGCTTCTTTCCAGAAAATCACGTGCGCCGTCTAGGCACGGCACCTAACATGTTGGCAACTTCAGGAAGTCGGATCCGTTGCCGTGCATGTTGCTCACACGCGGAAAGCAGCAAATTCCAGATCACTAGATCACTTAGAAGTTGGGCTCTTGGTGTATTGGCAGTATTGGTAGTGTTATGATCGCATGCTAGGAAGCGGAATCGCCGCCTCGGCCTCGCCGCCCTTGGACAAAAGTTGGTGCTGCCCCGGCGGCTCCAGCAAATGCCGTGGGCTGGAGGTGACGGTGCCCCAACTATGCAAGCCCGCCATCAAGCATCTGAAGATCTCATGTGATTTTGCACATTTTTGCGCACTTAATGTGGCGGCCAGGTGAGGGCCAAAAGTGGGCATCAGTCTGAGGCCAGAGCTGATTACGCGTCTTTGTTGTTCAACCGTTGTTCGGTCATGTTTGCTGCTGCCTCCGTACTAGACATAAAGGCCATTGCAGTCGCCTGGGGGACAGGCTCCCCAGAGTAATCTGTGACGACACCTGGGCGTCAGCAGACACATGCCAGGTGAAGACACGTGGGTGTCTGAAGACACTTTCCAGGCGAAGACACGTGGTGTCGCGAAGAGACGTGGGCGTCAAGACACATTTTACGAGAACACTTCCCTGGGTCAAGACATCTCGCGCAGGTGGGGGAAGACACGCTCCCCAAGACAGGTCCGGCGAAGAGCGTGGTGTCGCGAAAACACGTTGGCAAGCGAAGACACTTCCCGAAGACATGTAGACATGTCTGGCGAAGGCACGCTGCGTCGCGAAGACACGTGGGCAAGCGAAGGCGAAGACACATCCCGCAGACAGCTTCCGCGAAGACACGTAGCGTCGCGAAGACACTTCCCGAAGACACATCGCGTGTCCCGCGGGGGTGTCACGTACGGAGAGTCCATGACGTTATATGACGTTCCTCTATCGTTCTTTTCTCGGACGGATCAAGGAGTTTTCTGGAGGATTCCCATCCATCCTCCATCTGGCACGGCATTCAAGCAGTGAGCACATGCTTTTAGCATCTTTTAGCTGTCTAACCAGCTTTAAGGGGGGACTCCGACTATCCATCCTACTTTTGGCACGGCGTCCAAGCCGTGAGCGAATGCCTGTCACTGTACCTTCAGGACTCCGCTGCCCCATCCCTTAAGAATTATAACAAACTCACAACAATCAAGTGCCCACCCTCCCTCCCCCCCCCCCCCCCCTGCGCGCGAACCCAACGTCCAGAACTGGCGCGCGTAAGCAAAGGCATGATGAGTCCGGACGTCCTCAGCTCCGACCGACCACACACAAATCAGGATTCAACGTTATCCCGAATTCGGCCGCAGTTTGATTCCTGGCCCCAAGACTCAAGACACCCTGGAATCCCCTGTGAGCGCAGCTGCGTGCAGGGTAGAACACGCTTGCAGAGCAAACGCAAACCCCCAAGTTGGTAAATTGGCCCCCTGGCTCCGGTTTGTAAGTTGCAAAGTTGTGGCTCTGCCCGAGTTGAAGTAGAATCCCACCGCAAGTCTGCAGGATGGGAGCTCGCTGTCGGTTGTGCCGGGCGACTTCCTGGAAATTTTCTGCGCATCGGAAGGCCGCCATGTGGGTGAAAGCTGCGGATTCAATAAAGCTGCGCAGCCTCGAGTCTTCATGCTGAATTGTCAAGCGGCCGTGTGTTTCGATAGATCTGCAGTCGCAGGCGGTCGTGACAAGCAAAAACTGAGCCAGAACATGCCATCGCCTAGGCTGGTTGTACGGCCGCTTGCTGAAGGTTGGGATTGGCATTGCTGTTCAAGAAATGCAACATTTGACCCGAGAGATGCTGGGGCTCGACAGCCTTCAACAGACACTAAGCACGGGTCACACTCATGGAGAGGGTCGGCGCCTGGCGCAGTTTAGCTTGAATTTTGATTTGCTCTTGCCAAGGTCGTGACCAAAAATGCATTCAGACAGCGCATCGCAAAAATTGGCATGCTGTACTTCAGTCGTTGTGCGTCAGGCCCCAACTGAGATGGGCTTTGTTCCCGAGATGTGCCTTGCAGAAGAACTGTCCGTCCTCGGCTCAGACTGCAAGGGAACTGAAAGGTCAGGTAGTCAATATTGATATGAGCGACCGTCAAAATTAGCTTTGATTAGCTTTAGTAAGGGACGGACATCAGTTTATTGTTTGGTGGCTTTTGATCTGCAGAACGATATGGGACACGCAGAAAACGATAACCCCAACATCCATGTCCTTCAGCTTAACAAGTAATATTGACCGCTGCTCATATAGATATAGAAGTAGTAGCAGCAGGAGCAGGAGGGGGGGTGTCAACATATGCTAAACCAACGTGGACGCTGCACGTCGCATCCATGCTACCAGCCCGTGCGGTTTTGCCAAACATCCATGCCGGCGCGGTAGCAGTTGCAGTTGCAGTTGCAGTTGTAGTCGCAGTAGCAGTAGCAGTAGCAGTAGTAGGAGGAGTAGTAGCAGCAGCAGTAGGCAGTACTAGCAGTAGCAGTAGCAGTAGCAGGAGCAGCAGGAGCAGCAGAGCAGCAGGAGCAGCAGGAGCAGCAGGAGCAGCAGGAGCAGCAGGAGCAGCAGGAGCAGCAGGAGCAGCAGGAGCAGCAGCAGGCAGCAGCAGAGCAGCAGGAGCAGCAGGAGCAGCAGGAGCAGGAGGAGCAGGAGGAGCAGGAGGAGCAGGAGGAGCAGGAGGAGCAGGAGGAGCAGGAGGAGCAGGAGGAGCAGGAGGAGCAGAGCAGGAGCAGCAGCAGGAGCAGCAGCAGGGAGCAGAGCAGAGCAGGCAGGAGAGCAGGAGCAGGAGCAGGAGCAGCAGCAGGAGGAGCAGGAGGAGGAGGAGGAGGAGGAGGAGGAGGAGGAGGAGGAGGAGGAGGAGCAGCAGCAGCAGCAGCAGCAGCAGCAGCAGGAGCAGCAGCAGCAGGAGGAGCAGCAGGAGCAGCAGGAGCAGGAGCAGGAGCAAGAGCAGGAGCAGGAGCAGGAGCAGGAGCAGGAGCAGGAGCAGGAGGAGGAGCAGGAGCAGCAGCAGGGCCTGGCATTACTTTGTAAACTTAGTATCGTGCAGAAGTCATGACTCAGAGGCTCCCAGATCCACCGGGCCGCGGCTCGCTGCTGCCGGCACAGCTTCCCTACCCTTTGAAGGCCAACTCTTTGCGTGTCAAGTACACAAGTCGTAAGCACGCGAACACGACGAGAAACAGGGTAAGCAGGGGGGATGGTGTGGCCCCAAGGGTCTCGGGGAGCTCTTGGGATTTGGGGGGAATTGAGGCATCGTAGAAGGTCCGGACGCAGACGTGCACCTGTACCCTGCTGAGGGCCTTATTGCTGTTTCTACAACCATGTCACCGGATGGCCCTCCCCACGCAAAGCGGCCATTCGGGTGAATGCCAGGGAATATCGTGGGTGGGGTTGTGGCTTGTAGTTGTTGCTGGCCGAGCGCGAGGGTTGTTTTCAGCTCCCTGTTCCATGCTCCCTAGATCAGCTCGCAGCAGTTGCCTTCCACTGACAAGCATCAATGTTGCTCGCGTGAGAGCGCAAGACTCTTGCGCCACCCCAGCGTGTCCTTTGGGGGCAGGGGGTCTTAGGGAGGTCCCAGCTTGGAGGCATCTGCTGGCCCTTATTGAGCTGCTGGTAGTTGTGAGAACTCTCCAAACAAGAAGTTGGGATTTCTTTGCCTATTGCGTGTTCCAGACGTCTGTCGACTGGAAGGCGATGCGAATGGGTGCAGTAGCACAGTTCTGAGTACGAACCCCCATACTTCATTGTTTCCAAACAGTTTTCGCAGGCATGGCACGCCTAGCAGTTTTGTCGCAGTTTTGGTTTGTTTTGGAGTTTTCGGAGGCATAGACGGCTTTGAGCCTGATGGGGATCCGGAACTGCGCCGACCACGCGCGAAGCCAAGCAGGACAGGAGTTGCATTTGGCCAGCAGCATCAGCACCAGCACGTCCGAGAAGGCTGTAGAATCTATTCCAATAGTAGCACAATTTCTGTTGTGGTCTAGATTCTTTCCAATGGCAGGAGTTTTTCGCGTCAGCTGACGAGTGCAATCACATCCACCATCTGCACAGGCTCATTCCCAGTCAACGGACGTTGAAGCCCTACTCCAGCCGAAAATATGCCGACAGTCTTCACTCTTCATATCAGCCGTGAATTGGCCAAGCAGGAATGCCGGGGGCTAAATTGCTAAAGATACAGAACCTCGGGCAGGCGCTGTAGCGAATTGGTATTGTCTCAGACTCGAGCATTGCAGCTTGTTTTGAAGGCGGTGGGTGTGTCCGTTTCTTGGATGTCAGCACACCCTCTTCGCCCGACATGGGCGACTTGCTCCATGTTGAGCTAGCCAGGCAATTGTCCAGTGTTTCCGGGGCTGTGTACAGTCAAGGAGCTCCCAGGAGATGATTTGCTTCAGGCTCCAAGACTTGGCGATGATTATATCCATGGCCAGACATTGACGCCAACTATTGTCAGAATCAAGCTATATCAAGCTTCTCAGTGCAGAGCGCACCGAGACCCAACCGCTTAAAGCGGGACTTCTGTGGTCAGGGTCTCAGGAACACGTGCCAAAAAGAGCGGGAGAGAGAGAGTGTGTGTGTGTGTGTGCGTGCGTGCGCGCGTGTGTTTTTGTTCATGTGCGTGTCACACCCGAAGGGCAAAGGGATACTTAGGCTTGCATACACTGCCATTTGGCTTTGCACGTTGGTTTGCAGTGTCCACTGGTTGCAGCAGGACAGGAGTGCAGGCACCGAGCAAGACCGCTCTTGATCCTCGTGCTACACTGGATTGTTATATAGTCGACCTACAAGCTGTACATGGCTTCATACTGTGGTACCTTCACGGTAACACACTCCCAACAATCCAAGTGACGCCGGTTTATCACCTCAGCGAGTGCCTGTCCAGAGGAGGGATCACCTTGGATCCGTGTTTATTGGAGTGGCATTGAGACAAGCACGATGTCTGTCGAGTGTCAAGGCTGTAATCACTTCCCTCTATATTATTAAGCACACCCCCCCCCCCCCCCCCCCCCGCCTCCGGCTCCCCACCTGAAGGGCTGAGGGTTGAACCTGAACACCAACCCTGATCCTAAAATCAACCTCCTCCCCTCCCTCCCTGCATTTCGAGGTTTTGAAGGTTTGGGGTTTAATGAGATTTTTCAGTTTCAAGTACAATGCTGCGTTTGGGCCAAAAACGGCTTGCAGCGCTTGGCCTCCTGGATTGAGCCAGAGCGTCTCATTATCTGGGAGTGTGCGTTGGTGTGTGTTGTTATTCGGGTTGGAGACATTACACTGAATCTCGCGATTAACAAGGTTGAGGGTTTGAGTTTCAGTCCCGTGCCTGAAAAACTTGTGGGGTTTTGGGCTGGGGTTTTGGGTTGCGGCTCGGCGTTTCAGCACATCATAGTGGGGTTAAAGGGTTCATTGCCGGATCGAGTGCTTCTGCGCGCCAAAGTGCATACTGTACTAGCAAGGTACAATTAGGGGAAGTACATTGTACTTAGTTTCGTAATGCATCGTAAGTAGGGCTTGTGGGTTGTTGTCTGAATGCTTCTCAGCTTCAGAGGATGGTGGTAACCGAAGTGTTCATTAGGGTTGTGTGTTTGTGCGTGTGTGTTACAGCAGATTGGAGGTTTGGACGTTATTCAGTTAACAAACAGGCTTTGAGTCACTTCATGAGGGTTTTGGCTTGAGAGGGTTACTCACTGCCATGGGAACACCCTAAGCCTTTAAGCATAGGAAAACCCTCAATGAGTGGGCTGCGAACTTGTTTTTCCAGGTACTCGGGCCTTTGCATGTCCCCTCATGAAACAGGAAACCCTCCACGATGCGCTGGCACCAAGTGGTTTTTCCCACGTATGCTGGCCTCCGTTGCGCGTTGGTCTAAGTGATTGTCCCATGTATTCTGGTCTGCGCGGGTGCTTCTCTTGCATTGAAATCCTCAACGTGCTGGGTGCGAATTGGTTTTGTTTCCGCGCATTAGGCTGGCCTCCGTGGTGGGGGTTCCGGTGTTCGTGTCGTGGTGCCTTTTCAGTATACCTTCAACATGCTGCGTGCGACTTGGTTATTTCCACGGTGCCCTTTTTGTTCCAAGGTGCAGCTTGGCTTGGCTCGGCTGGGGTTTGACTTGGCTCCCTTTTTTTCTTAGGGCTTTTGGCTTGGCTCGTTCTTTTGCTCAGGTGCGGCTTGGGTGCGGCTTGGCTTGTCTCCGTGTGTTTTTTCGTTTTGTGCCTAGGTGCGGCTTGGCTTGGCTTCGGCTCGGCTGCGTTTTCTGCTTTTGCTGAAATGGTGCTCCCCCCCGCCTTCGAATCCCATGTTAAGCCGTGCAAACTTGTTTCACGGCCGGGCTAAGCAAAAAGAACGAGCCGAGCAGGCGAAGCCCAGCCAAGCCGCACGAAAAGCCAAGCCGCACCTAGGACCTCCGCTGTTGCTACGTGCTCTGGCCTCCGTTGTGCGTTGTGAGATTTCCCCCAAAATCTTGGAGTGTTAAAGAATGATCAAACAGTGTTTGAAGGGTTTGAAGGGCCACATTGGGGGTTTGCGATCTGTCATGAGTGCTTTAGCCTTTCAAGGCCATGTTGAAAGAGCATGTTTGCTCAGGAGCGCGGTTGTTCTGTCGCGTGTGCAACACTTTCAGGGTCATGAATGCACAAGGCAAACTCGCCTGATTCCATGCTGTGAAGGCGTTTGCTTGCTGTGGTTACATCACATCTGAATCATATCACATCCCTTCTGCTGGTTTGCTCCAGCTGGGGGTGGGGGGCAGGGCAGTGTAGCCATGGGCCAAACAACTGGCTGCTGCCAGGCTTGTGAATCTTGTCGGGGCGGTTATTCTTGGCAGCACATGGTCACCAAATTTTGAAAACCCGCCATTTTAAGGGTTCTTGTGCCAGGCAACTGCGGAGGCACAGCCTGTTGAGCAGCTTGAGCCGGTAGTTGCACCACAGGAGCAGCAAGTGCAGCAGTGTGCATTGGCGTGCACGCGAGAGAAGCAGACACAGTTTTTCCTTATCGCCATCAAACTTTGGTCAGCTCGTTCGCATTCGTCCATGCATCAAGCGCTGTACAGAAATGTCCATCAATTGCCACCTCCTCCAGCATGTCATGCTGCCTGACGATGTGCCGACAGGACCAGCTGACACACGGCTTTGTGGACATTTTGAACAAGGATACGATGCAAGATGTTGAGTAGATGTTGCAAGCTGCAGGGCAACTTGCCGAATGTGCAGTTGCACACTCCGCACACTGCGCATTGACCAGATTGGCTTCAGGACGAAGTCAGCACGAACACGTTACCAGCAAAGGCCGGCGGCCAACGCTCAAGCGTGCTCATGCGGCATGTGTGCAGTGGCCAGTGTTTCCATTTTTCTACCTGCATGAATAGGGTCAGAAAGTCATCTGAGGCTGTTTGTGACTTGTTTTTCTTGGTTGCCGTGCCTCATCCTATGAGAGTCCTTGACCCCCAAGTGCTCTGATTACCATGCAGGGCTCAATGCCCAGGAAATTCCTGTGAAGCCTGGCAAGGAGATGTTGAGAGTGACACACACACACACACACATCCTGAAGCTTCACCTTCATAAATACTACAGCTGTGGGTGTGGGCGTGAGCGTGCGTGGATGGGGGGGGGGGTGCGTGAGGCCACTTACACAACAAAAATATTCACTACATCACCGTCACTACGCTTGCAAGTGATGGACAGCGCTCTCTGATCTAAGGGCCTCGACAGCTGAACGTGTGAACATGATTGAACATGGCTTGGCTAGGCTGACGAAGAGAACCTTACGAAGCGAGCTCTCGAGGCCACTTGTATTTGACACACACAGTGTACGTGCACTGTAAGTAAAACCATCATGCGCAAGCTTACTTCGCAGAAATTCTGCAGAAGGGTTCTGTTGCCATTGTGCAAATGCATTCAACACATCTGGGCCCAAGGAAGCAGAGCGACATCTTCGTGACTTCAACCTTGCCGCTGAGCAGCGTCTCATTCGGGTACATTCATTGACGCATATTGGTTTAAGGTTAGGGTTTAGGGACCCGCGCATCATCCGCTCCAACACTCATTGGTGCGCCGCCTCCCTTCACCGATGCCAATTGCGGAACCCTGCTAAACCCTACACCTTAACAACCCCACCTGAACCCTAAAAAAACATGTAGTAGCGACATCCGCAATACAAAGGTCTGTTTCCTTGATGTTTTGTGGTTTTGAGGCTGGGTCTGGGTCTGGGGTATCCTGCGGTGAGCACAGTGAGCCGCTTCGTTCACCTGCTTGCGCATGCCAGAGGACAGGGCAGATGAAGTCTTGGGGACGGCTTTAGAGCAGCTGAGCGAGGCAGGGCTTGGGACCGCTTTCTGCTTGTTCCTTCTTTGGGTTTGAGATCTGTTGAGATGCGACGCATGGCCAGGCTTCCGCTGAGAGACTTCGCAGCGCTGAAACTTTTCGCATTTGCCCTAGTTTCTTTCCAGCTGTGATCACCGGCAGGTGCCCATCGAAATAGCCAGCGTTCGTACCAGCAGCAGCACACGCGACAGTACTGGGACTTCACAAGGCCGTGTGCAGCGGCATTTGGGCCAATACGAACTGGCCAAGGAGCGGCATCAGCGTGAGTCCACTCGGTCATGATGGGTGCCTCACTCCACTGTTTGCTGCCAGATCGTGGGGGGGGGGTGAGGGGGGGGGTGGGGGGGGGGCTGTCAGGGGGGGGGGGGTGGGGGGAGGGGGGAGGGGGGGGGGGGTGGGGTGGGGGGGGGGGGGGGTGGGGAGTGGGGGGAGGGGGGGGAGGTGGGGGGAGGTGGGGGGAGGTGGGGGGGGTAGGGGTGGGGGTCCGGTGTGGGGGGGAGGGGTGGGGGGTGGGGAGGGGTGCGGGGGGGGGGGGGAGGGGTGTGGGGGCGTGGGGTGGGGGGGGGTGGGGGGGTTTTTTTACTCCGACAAGCGGGACCTTCCACGGCATCGGTTTGCAGCTCCTCCAACGGATTGGGGGGGGTCCCACAGGGCGGGGGGGGGGGAATTCGGTATGGGGGGAAGGGTTGGGTTAGGGGGAAGGAGGCCCGATCCGGGTCTGCTTGTTCCAGACGCTTCTAGCCGAGGCGAATTATGGTAGGAAAATAAGTGCCATGTGGCTACTCGACAAACCGAGCTCGAGAAGAGAGCCACTTTTGCTTTTCGGCGTTCTTCGGCGCAGCCTAATTTCATCTAATTTCATTGAAGAGCCACGAAGCAATGCAGATGGTCCTGCAGATGTCAACGCCACGACCTCCTGCTAGCAATGTGCATGTCGTGAAGGTCGATGCTAGACACAAGAGCGAACTGTGGTTTGCTATGCTTGGCAGCAGGACATGTTGGCCAGTGACGATTTCGAGTTGCTGTGGCAGCAGGCGCCACCCCTCCATGTTTGCATGATCAAAGGCGCAGTCGTTGTGAAGGAACTGACAACGGCCGCATGATGTTGCACGTTGCACGTCCTGTTTGCAGGGAAGGGCTTGCGTGCTTCCCTTGTTGAGAAAACGGCATTGGGGTCCATCTGGGCGCAAGGATGGCACCCGAATGGAAGTGAAGAGGGACCCGTGCTGCCGCGTCTTTGAGTACCGGCTCGTCTCGTGGCCGCAAGCTACACAAAGCCACTGCTGAGACAATCTCGTGCATGTTGATCGCCTGAAAATCCTTAGCAGACAGGGTTGGCTGAACAGTTTGTTTCCACTTTGATGGCTGGCCTGACACTTCAATTCTCGGCGATGCCCGTTGGAGCACAAACAGTCAAGTCTGTCATGCCGTTAAAACTTTGGAAAATCTGCTGTAAGATTGCAAGGTGATTGATCTTGAGCAGCCGCTGAGTCAGGCTGGAAAGCTGAACTCCGTCAGAATGCCGATACCGCCGACACCCATCATCAAACCCGAAATAGAGTTGCTGTGCAGATGTGGGAGATTGCGCAGTGTTCCGGGACAAGACATTGGACAGCAGCATGTGTCATGACCAAAATTTTGGGAGGCTGTGTCACACTTCGAGGAGGTGGACCTCATCCACAAGGCTCCGACGCTGTTGCGAGCCTGTTTGGTACGTAGGGCACGCACGTGGTCCAGACACACCAGAGCAGGTTCAAAAGCAGCTGTGCCAGCCGGTGGAAACTCTCGGAAGCGGGTCTCCATGGCATAAGGCAGGCTGTCAGCTCCGGCACACGCCACGGCGCATCCGCATGAGAGTACGCTGAACTCGGAGGCTAGGGTAGCTAGGGTGTGATGCTTCGTGAGATCGAAGCTTGGCTTGGCAGGCGTATATGATGTGCTTCAGCATTGCAGTCTTGCGCATCGAGGTGCTGCATGCACCTTGTCTTACAGCTGATCAGGAGCAGCAGGGCGTCATATCAGCACTTTTCCTCAGCACTGAGGAGTTGTTCCGGTACCGTGACAAGACGAATGGCGTCCTCTTGGAGGGCGTTTGTACTGAATTTGACCATACAGCCTTGAACGCTCTTTGATTGCAAGAAAGGTGCGCGTTGACGTACAGTACTGTATATGACCCTCGGCCGACATCGCGGCATGTGGCCGCAGGGGATGATGTAGTTCTCAGGGGCGCATCTCAAACATCTCCTGTTCTTGTAGGCACATGCGGCAATGCAGACTCAACGGTACAGGTCCCGGCCAAATCCTGGCGGGCTATGCGGCCGTGGAACATAGCGGCAAACCTCTGGAAGCCACACGAGGCGCTGCAGCACGGAACATCTGGGGGAACATTCCGGAGCACAGCGGAGGGTAGCTTCGGATTTTGAAGCAGACACGGCGCCGAAACATCATCGACCAGAACGTTGCGTAGCAGGGACTAAGATTATGTATCCGAATGAAGTTCACCAGCCAGAGAAGCTAACAACCAGTTCAGTCAGTACATGTCAGTGCGCCAGCTCAGGTTACCATTTCAACCTTGCACATTGCTGATGGATTAGCAAGTGCCGTTTGTCGGAAGACTGGAATTGTTGGCCTCAGGATGGATCTGGCAGGACCACCTTCATCCACGTTTCCCGTGCCTGGCCTTCAATGTGGCCAGAACGAGCAGATGACCACATGCATTCGCGTGGCTTTTCGGTTTTGATCCTTTGCCAACTGTCACTGCGCCAATTCGACTTGTAAGCCGTGCACAAGCATATTTGCGCTTAAACCATGTAAAAGGTGGCTAGATTGTGATTGCGGTGGAGCATGCCGGAGCGTGGCTTGTGTCGCGGAGGTGCGGAAGCTGGGATGACGTTGGCTTCTTGGGCTTCTTGGCAGCATCGAGAGGGTCCGTGAGAGCGGGCGCTTGGAGGTTTTGGGCCTTTTTAGGTTTTATGAGCCTCATATGCTACACAGTTACTCGCAGCCTGGGCTTGTCTCTACGTCGCCGTTTGAAAGTTTGAACAAAGCACTCGTACCGTGGGATGCCTTTTCGAGGATGCAGGAAAAGTGCGCAACCGAAGCGCTGTCTAAATGCAAATGCGTGGGCATCGAGGGGCCTGCACAAAAGCGCAACGCGATTCGCCGGAGCATGCCAGGGGCAGAACAATTTTTGTATTCATTTGTCCTCAATACCGCCATGTAGCGAGGCAGCGGGGCACGAGTTTCTGCACATGTCTGACATGCGCTATTTGTACTTTCGTCACAGTGCGACATCAAGACGATCAGCAGATCTGAGCCATCAAGGTCCAGACAAAACAGCACGCCGTTTCTCTCTCGCCATATGCTATCACGTGCTCATATTTATGCGAGGCACGAAGCACAAAAAAGGCTCACACTGACATGACTAGCAAATCGCTTTCATCTGGGGTTCATTGGCTACAGAGAGCGAACCCCCCCAGCCCCACACATTCATCCTTTCCTTCTTCCAGGAAAGATTTCAGGGCTACTGCAATTGCCTGGTGCGGCGTCAACACGCGCCACCACTTAAAACTTCTCCCCACAATGTGCCGCTCAAGTCTATACTTCCAACATCCAGGGACGCTGAAACCTTGTAGAGCGACGGACAGCTCAGTATCTCTGGCCTCTAGCCTGCCCGTGCACCCATCCCTGTGCGGCTGCTCGAGGCCTGCTCGACCAAATCGCGTTCTCGCCTAGGCATGGTGGCTACGAGGAAACCGTGGTTTCCCTCGCAGTACTTTCGGCACCTCCGAACTCCGCTCTTCGCGCGTTGCGGCAAGCTATTCGGGATTCACGATTCAGGTTCCGGAAGGCGGGCCGGTTTTCTGTAGTGCAAACTACAAACATTAGAAAAGGCTTGCAACTGTTGAGCATGTCGCGGGGCGTCGGGTTTTGCTGAGATGCTGGACACGGCGGCATACTTCGTGGCACGCGGATTTGCGGCTGACGTTCGCAAAGCTGCTGCTCAGCTTCGTTTACATTCGCAGCACGTTCTGTTCCCCACTCTTCAGAGCAGGTGGTTAGATTATGCTGCCAGATTCGATTCTTCACAGGCTGCCGAAGCCTCTGTGCCTGGTAGCCCATGGATGGAGCGCATCAACGCCGACAAGGACCCATGATGTTAACAAATCTGTATATCTCCTAGCACAAGCGGCTCTCTTGCGACATGGTCTGGCACCGTGTCACAAAAAATGGCAAGTGACAATTGGTATTATTTAATGCATGCTCTACAAGAAGGTGATGAGAAGGCTGTTTGTTTGTCCCAGCTGGCCATCGATGCTGTGCCCCAGCACTTGTGCGATAGCCTTCCCATGGATGGAAGCCTCATCGCGTAATATGACTGTCATTTCAAGTGACATTGCAGCCATCCGCAATTCGCCAGGACGGCTTTTATGCTGAACTACGTGAGATTGAGAAAGTGAGAAGCACAGTGCCTTGGGATAAACGTGCCCTTGCTGCATGTACGTTGCGTTGGTAGCCATAGATGTACTTCAAAAGCTTCTTCAATGTACGGATGAGAGCTCGCCCACAGTCAGCACAGGCCCAAAGGCATTATATATGTATTGAGTTGTATTGATGACAGCTTTCTCCCGGGGAGAGATCAAGTTTCTGCTATTAGGTGATGATTCGCCGTGCATGCGTGTGCAGTCATGAGTGTGTAGCGGTTCGGTTGCGGTTGTTGAACCAACGGTTCATAAGAAACAACTGCCAACAAAACTCTTGCCCCGTCAGCCCCTCCCTCCAAACAAAATTCTGCAGCCCCAAGCAAGGGGGGCGCACGAAGCTCAGAAAGGCCCCAAAAAGGCGCTGAAGAATTCAGCGGGCGGGGGGTTTCTCAGGTTCCGATTTCCTAATACAGCATCACGGTTCCAGCTGTTCCGCCGGATTTACGATTCGTAGAGTTCAGTTCCGATTCTTCCTTGTAATGTCCTGAATTCCAGAAAATTCCAGAGGAGCGAATCTGAGAATCTGGGGCTGTCGTAAGACATCGTAAGACTCCATCAGCGCAGCTGTGCCTTTAGGATCTTAGGAGCATCAACAGACTTCAAAAACCATTATTTTAAAATTATAAACCCTTCAGAGCTTCCACCTGAGCACTGACCGGCCCATCCCCCCCCCCCCCATGTAGGATACCCAGCGATGTCTCTCAAAACGCGGTTCGGTTACAAAGTGCTTGCCATGGTTCCACATGTTTGATGGGATATAGGGATTTTGTACTCGCCTAAGTGGTGTTTCATGGTATCCCTATTTTCTGAGCTACCGGGGTGGTCGCGTCAGATCAGTGTCAGGCAAGGAGGGCTCCCCAGACGACAGGGACGGGTTTCGTAACATCCATCGCTTCAACCCCTTTCTCCAGTGCCGTGGTGCCGGAAAGGATTGCGATACACAGCTACAGCTCGCAGAGACATCAGGTGCACGATGTGGAGCGGGCACCGTGCCAGGTGTTTATGCATGCGTGTCCTTACAATAACTTTGAAAGGCCGGCACGCACCACATGATATCGACGTGGAATCAGCACGAGTATGTAGTCAACACGAGCATGGAGTCAACGCGACAAGGCTTCTCGCCCAACATCAACCGGGGATTTTTGCAGTAGTCTTGGATCTGAACTTGAAACTTATTGAAGCACTTATGTCACTGGTATGATGAGTAGCCACGTGCTTAACTTCTCGCTACAAGTTCTAAAATGTGCCCACAAACTTACTAAACCCCAATGCTGAGGAGAACGTACACGCTTTGCAGCCGAATGACTTAAAGGGTTGGTTCAAGATCTCCTTACGGCTGAGGCTGCTTGGAACGAACGTGGAAGCTGCTGCCTGAGCCGCAGAATGGGACTCCTCCTTCGTTGCGTAGGCACCCCCCAACTCAGGGAAGTTAATGGTTGTGCGAAAATGGGCTGCCCACGCCCGTGCACATGAAGCCTTTCTGGCAACCAGGAGGATGGAATTGAGGAATCGCCAGAACTGTTAAAGGTTAGGGTAAGAGTGTTTGTTTGTTGAAATAACAATCGCCACCTCCAGCTTTGGTGACCTGCCAGAAGGGAAAGTGCATAGTCGCTCCAGGGAACCTGGTGCCACGAATGAAACGATCATGCCGGCTCATCCAGGCTCATCTTCTCTAAGCTCTGTGATAAGTTGTGAAAGCATGTGAAAAGTGTACTCGGTGTCTGCTGTGCCTAATGGATCCTAATGGCCCATCGCCGCTTGCGGCTGATGTAAAAAGGGTTTCTTCAGCACTACCCTCGCTTTCGCAGTGGTAACGGAGAGCGGTGAGTGTCGGGTGGCAGGGATTTGGGTCTGAGATTGTGGGCGCCCAGCAAGTCGGCATGAGGCCTGGATGCAAAAGGCGCACAGCGTTGGCCTCACCGGTAGACTTGAGCCTGCGCCTTTCCATATCTTCGGTGTTCAAGCTGCTCGAGTTCTATTTGATTGGGGCTATATGCCTTTTCTCGGCCTTCGCGACGTCGTGGGCTTCAACCTGCTTGGCCCCTCTTCAGCCTCTTCACTACTTCGTAACAGGGCTTTCGTGCTTCGAGTACCGCCGCCTGCAACTTCTTCAGCTTCATCAGCCGTAAATACCTTCACTGCACCCTCCAACTTCACTTCTCCAACTTCCTCCTGCGCCACCTGAACTACCACCACTTGCCCTTGGGCCCGAGAGTTGCAGCGCCGCCCCCCAAGGAAGCGACCCAACAAGACCCTTCGTGCCCTTCAGCAAGGGTTCCCACTGAGAGAGCCATCTCTAGACGAAGCCATCGAAACGATGACCTTGGCAAAGGAGTCGGAAGAGGAAAAGGCGCATGCCCTCCTCGCAAGCCGCTCTCGCTTCCTTCCTCCCTTGCGGGCCCCGGCCCAACCTTCACACGAACACCTGGCCTCAGCGGTTGCGAGAGGGGTCCAAGCCTCAAGGTCTCAAACATGGCAGCGTGTCCCTCAAGGTCCAAAACATGAGCAGCCTAAGTTTTGATTCGCAAAAGCAAAAGCCTACCCTCCGAGCTTTTGCTCGTCAGGGTCTTCGTGGTTGGCAAGTCTAAAGCATTGGGATTCCTCTACGGAGGTCAGTGCATGTCCTGCTGCATCCAGGGTCCACCGCTCCGAGCAGTGGTGTGCTTTGTCGCTGGGCGCGTGAGCCACGCAGGGGCTGGGCGGTGGCGAGGAGTGCGCGGTCCAGCGCCCCCTCAAGGTCGGTGAGCGCGTGTGCGCCCGGAACGTCGAGGACGGAACGTCGAGGACGGAACGTCGAGGACGGAACGTCGAGGAGGAGCCGGTCCGTTTCGGATGCTTTATGGCCCCTTAAAAGCCTCTTTATGCCTCTTTGAGAAGTGGCGCAAAGCACTGCCGTCTGGCACGGCAGTAGGTGAGCTTGTCGGCTTCGCCCAGCAGTCCAAATGCCAGCCTCGGCTCAGACCTGCCAGGGCCCGCGCAACTTCAGACGAGACGTCTCTAGGCAACGAGAACCTCCGTGTCTACTGCACAGTGCTTGCCTAAAAGCCGATCGCCTCTTGTCTCACGTGGGCTTACACCTGGGGCCCTCGAGCTCGCTTGGCCAGTCGCCTGGATCGGCTGCTGTGCAAAGGGTAGCTACTCGAGTCAGCAAAGTTGAATTAGGTTTCCGCGAGCAGGCTTTCAGTCAATCAACTCCATGCTTTGCACCATGGCACACACAAAGGGTTAAGATGGGAGAGTATTTTGTTTTTCTTTTTCTTGTGTCTCCTTTGCTTTATTTCTGCTTTTGCCTCGTTTTGCTTCTAGCCTTTGCTTGTTCTTGTTTTTGCTTGTTGCTCTTCGCTTGACTCCCTTCCAGACCCATCATGCGAACATTGTTTTTGCAAAGCGGGGTGGGCTGGTGCGTCCGGCCCCACCCCACTGTTTTAAGCCGCGCAAGCTTGCTTCAAGTCCGACAAACCCCCGCCCCCTTCCCTGGCATTTTTAAGCCGTGCAAGCTTGCTTCGAAAGCATATGAATCCTAAGCATACTCGTCATGTGAGCACTGCCTATGCAACCCCCCCCCCCCCGCACCTTGTTCTAGCCGCACAAGCTCGCTTCGCGAAGCATGTGAATCCTGTCCAAACCCATCAACACGCACGGGGCCGGGGCGACAGTTCACATGAGCGGGTCGTTGAGCGTATACAAAGCAAGACGAGTAACCCCAAACATAACTCCGAATACTAAAAATGCCTGAATGAATTCTGGACCCTTGTTACCATCCATGTCCCTGATTACGTGCGGGATCGTTATTTTTCAGCTCATGGGAAACTTGTGATAATGAAGCATCGTGGAGCATTGTTGCCTAATCTTCCAAGCCTACCCTGCAGGTCCCCACCTGACTAGGCTGGCGCTTGGAACAGATGTGCCGATGTGCCTATCAGACTGTCCTACCTTGCCCTTGGACTCCCGATTGGAGCGAGGGAACTTTGGCAAGAATCAGCCAGGATAGCTCCGCGACGCCTCCTTAACGCACGATGGAAGCTGGAGAGACAAAGCAACAGCAACATAGATCACGTTGGCTACTGGTACTGGTGCAGGGCTTATTTCGAAGGGCTTATTTCGAAGGTGGACATTTTCGAAGATCGGAACGGCTCGCACTGAATATCCTGGTTGGCAGTTCATGGTGTTTCGCATGGAAATGGCATCCATAGCATGTCCTTATTGGCGTGCATTTCAAGATTCGTCAACAGTTCACCGGCAGGCATGCGAACACGTCCTTCGCCAATCAGTTGTTCCTATAGCCTTCAACCTGCAATGTTTTGTGCTAGATTGCTGAAGGACGGACTGCGCCATGCGCCGCTGGGTACAAAAGACTCACATGCTCCCTTTTGCGAAACGTGCCGCAAAAGACTAACATCCAGCTGGGAGTTGTGCAGTTACCTCGTCCTACATGATGAATACATGCTGCACAGATCTGCACAGAGACACAATGGCCAGAGTCGCGCTTACATCGCCTGCGAGAGCTGCTATATATACAGGATTAAGATTTGCAGCGCAGATCTTCAGGAAGGGTCGTGGAGGCATGGTTCAAGCAGCACGGACGAACATGGCGGCCATTAGTGCATCCAGAAAACTTGGCCTCGCTTCGTCCATGGCAGCATAGATGCGCAGGCCTGTGCTCGCGCACAGTCGTCATTTCGTGCGGGTGTTCTGGTGTTCGAGTCTGCTTTTGCGACGAGGAGCCCCGAGCCGGAAGACACAGGGTTTGACATCGCCAGGCACCCGAACATTGAAGGACTGTCCGTCGAAATATCAAGTTCGTTCCCATACCAGAAAGCTGCAGTTGGTGAGCCGGCCATGATAGACGCATTCTCTGCCACAACGAGTAACGGAGAACATACAGCTGTGCATGGCCCTCGTGGTGCGCTCATGCCTAATTGCAAAGTGAAGCGCTTAACACCTGCGATGGAGCCCTTTAGCCCGAAGTTCGTAAACTGAAGCTCACATGAACCCTCATTAGGCTTCAAAAAGTCTCTGCAAGTACTTTCGT